CAAATAAAATGTGTTTTCTGTGTGTAATTAAGTCATTTTAATTTAAGTGATGTTTTAAAAATGTGTCATCTGTCTAAATGAAGGGAAAAAAGAACAATATCTCTGAAAAGTGCTTTGGTTGGTTGTTCTCGCCGAGTTTCGCTCAGTCACAAGATTTACAGCTGTAGTTTTACCAGACCAAACTGAACCTTTTTTTTCTGACTCTAGCAATTTCCATCAATGTAATCTGTTGTAAATCATATCAGTGTGAATTGAAGGTTTAAATCTTGCTTGTGTGTCATTTTTACCTGCAGATTACGTGAAGGGCTTCGGGGGAAAGTTTGGAATACAGTCGGACAGACAGGATAAATCTGCCCTGGGGTGGGATCACCAGGAGAAGCTGCAGCTGCATGAGTCTCAGAAAGGTAGTTCAGCTGGGCTCGGTTGCTTTTTGACTGATGTCAGATGTATTTCAGGTCTCTCTTGTAAGTGAGGCCCTGAGGCTCATTGGAATTAACCTGTATAAATAAAGGTTGAATGAAAGAACTCGACACAATTTGACCAAATACTGCTGTTTATCACGACAATGATACTAAAAGCAGATATTATTCAAGCTGATAATTTAGTTCTGTGTTTGAGCTCTGGATCCCCGACCTCAGCCCACAACATGGATCTTCTCGTTGAAGCCTATGAGGGGAAAAGAGTCAAAAAACAGATTATATGTAGTTCTGTGGACAAGTTAATACTGAAGCTTGAAAACTTGCCTTATTAAAGTTACTACATTTACTGTTGTTCACTGTTGTACACAGTAGAATATCCTTTGTAATGAGCAGATCATGTGTAATAGGGCTGCAACAACGAATCGATAAAATTGATAAAAATCGATTATTAAACGTGTTGGCAACAAATTTCATTATCGATTCATTGTGTTGCACGATTATGCGTCTCATGGCGTTGCTGAGCCGTTTTGTTCACCTGCAGAGTATTGTCAATGCTGGCTGACTAAATAAAGTAAAAAATAAAAAAAAACTCTGCACTAGGGCTGGGCCATATCATATCGTTCACGATAATACCGGTATAAAAAACTTAACCGGGAAAATAAATGTTATCATGATATGCTAATTTCATGACATAAATACGTCATCCCACCACGTAGCGGATTACACTGCAATGAAGGCATGAATGGAGACATCTGAGCTGAGCGCTGTTTGAGAGTGGGAGGGGCACAGACGCATCTGAGCTGAGCGCTGTTTTAGAG